TTGTGTAGACAAACATTTTGGTGTCAAAGTTGAGGCCAACCGTCAGTCTAAAGTCAAGATGTCTGCAGAGGCCTGGAGAAGTAACTTAGGGATTTAGTCTTTACAGGGTAACAGAGAGAATACATGTTGACATAACTGTTGACTTTATACCTCTGTCAGACTGGCCTAGAACAATAAAAACAAACAAACACAAGTGACAAAAATGATGCATTGGATATTTTTATAGGTGAGTGGGACGTATGCCACTTTGAATACCTGCATAGCATTAAAACCTGTACATTTCTGTTGTGAATTTGTGGATGTGAAGATTACAAGGTGCTGACATTGTACCAGTTGATGATCAGTCCGGCAAGTGCTAAGAATTGCCACCAGGGGATGGCCTGACCTCGCTGCCAAGACAAGCCCATGTTGTGGGATTCAAGAGTTAATGTAGTTTTCTTATTATATCAAATTGACCAATATCATATATTGGTGAATGTCAATAATTTTATACCTGCTATAGTCTTTAGTTTGGAAATGGAAATTTTCAGTTTTTAGTAATATATAAGGGGAAACCAGCATATGTTCTCATTTACCACATTAAACTTCACTTTTTATTTACTAAATGTTAAAAATAAGTTGCTATACAGAGGTTGAATTTTTTAGGCCACATGTTGGTTACATTGAAGTCCAGTCAGAGAAAGTCAGTTATTTCAAAGGAGCACCTGTATCCCCTTTATCATACATACTTATATAATTTTTTTTTGGCTTATGGCAAATAATTATAATTTATACACATTTATTGTTAATGTATTACATTACTGGGTTTCATCGAAGGCACTGTCATTATTTATTGCACTGTATTGCACTAACATAACGTCATGTTCTGCTTTCTAGANTGTTCTGATTTCCGGTAGTAAGGTATTCACTACAGCAGATATAGTTTCCATTTCTGTCATATTGGCTTGTGTGGCTAAAGTTCTTTTCCTGGTAATAAAGTCCAAGACTTTTTCCTGTGGTTCTTGTTTTATTCTAAATACTGCTGAATGTTTGTCATAAGCAAAAGGGTGTGACGAAAATCTTGTCAGGAATGCTTTTTCTAAATCCTGATAATTGCTTTGAATGTCATGTAACAATTGTTCATACCATTCTTCTGCTATTCCTTGTAAAAACAGTGGGAAGTGGTCGAGTTTTGTTTGCTCATCCCATAGCCTTGCTTTGCAGAATCTGTTGTACCGTGTTATCCACCTCGCTGGATCTTCTTTTCCTGTAAAATGTTGTATGCTCAGTCCATGTGGTATTGCTGGCACCCTCATGCTGTGTTGTTGGTCATTTAACCTTTGGAGGTTGTGTCCTTGGGGATCAGCTTCTGGTTGAGGTCCTTCTGCAGCTGAGTGTTCCATTTTTGTTGGTACTTCTAATTCTGAATGGTGGGGTATCTAGCTGTTGCTGTAGATTTTCATTCGCTTGGCATTTTAGTGAGAGGAACTTGGGGATCGCAGGTATCTCCACCACCTAACATAACGTCATGTTCTGCTTTCTAGAGATCAGCATGCAGTGTTCTCTCTCTGAGTACTGACTACTGACTTCTACCTTTATTTCTATCTTTATATACCTTCACATATATAATTACATTACATTGGCTTCCCAGCCAGGTGGGTTGCCAGAGTGGTCACTTTAATTCAATTACACATGCGATAGGGAAGACTTCCAGACTGAGCACTAAATGGCTTCTACTAGTGGACAATAGGTTGATAACTTAAACTGATTGATCAAGGTGAATAATATAGTTACAAGGCAGAGAACCATTCCTAAATACATTTGAGGTGGATGTATTTGTTAATCAAAGATATGGCTTCTTGTTTAATTGAGTTACCTAGTGTGACTCTAAACAAACTAACTTCTTTAAACTTGACCTGTAAACTGATTATATAAGTATACATCCTGAAAACATTTAACCCACACATGTATATAATTCAGGACACATATTGTTATATAACAACCTTATAAACTTCTGGAAATTAGACTGAATGTAATGGAATTGATCATATTTATAGTTGCTATTTCAATGAAAAGTTGAGAAAACCGAAAATTCATTTAAGGCATTAAATTACAAGTATGACACATCCCTGGGGCCCTTCTAAATATGTCCTCATATTTACCATTAAATTACAAGTACTCTAGGTTTTATACAAACCAACTACATGTACACATTATCTATTTGCTTTGACTATGTACAAGTAAATTTACATTAAACACAAGCAATAATTATAAAGACATAATATGACATGGTATTTTCTCACTTCAAATTGAAATAAATATTAAAAACTATATTTCTCTATCAGTATGACAACACATTTATGTTTACACAAAAGAAAACTTCTAAACGTTTACAGTCTATTTGATTTTACATTTTTCCTTTATGTAAGTACAGTTCTTTTGGTAAAGTGGGAACCTTATTTGTCCAGCTACTACCATTAATACTCGTAGGGTGCACAGTAATAATATCAATGAACTCGTTTTTTTTTTTGTTTCCATGTATGTTTTAGTTTTACTATTTGTTGAGACGTATTTCTCTAGCAATATCCATTAGGGCTTTATGATCGATGCATCATGTGCATTACTCTTTTAAACTTGTTGGACTGATCCCTGTCAGACCAAGACTCTGGAAGACTTTCTAACATTTTTACTTTGATCATCCATTAAAAGCATCCACAATTAAGTGCGATGACAAAGTAGGAAGGTACAGACATTGTGTTTATGGTAAATGTAAGACTTAAGCCACGTTGGCAAAAACTGACAAATCACATAAAGACTAAGAAGGTCAAGGAAAAGCAAAAGTTGGTGGAAGTTGGTGCTATAAGTACAAAAATAAACTGAACTTTTTGTATTATGCACAAATGAGAATTGGGGGTTTGCTGAAAGGTATGACCATAAAAATAAACATTAGAAAACAACAATATTTACTATAAACTGTTTCTTTATTCAAAGTGCTGGCATACAATGTATACAGTTGTAGGGGTTTTTTTGTTATTATTTCACTTTTGAAGCTTTTGATTTGCATTTTATGACGTAAATATATTTTTCCTGCCTGTTTTTTTTCCTATTTAGCATTTGCTTCCTCCATATTTCTTCTAGTTATGGTAATTCATTCAATTTGTTCCTTGGTGCTGATACTGATATTTTACGTTTGTGATTTTCTAAAATAACTTCATTCATCCAATGCACTGTGTAGCTTTCACAGACATTAACGTCATATTTTGTGTTGCTTACCAGCAGGCTGTGTACAACAGTATTTGTTAAATTTTACTATGTGTTGTTATTGGATGGACTATTTCCCAACTTCACAACTACTTACTTTGGTACCCAAGAAATTAAAGATGGAAGGATAGATTGTGCACAGCCTAATACAATACAGAAAGTGCCTGCACCTCTGATTGCATTCAGCAAAAGATGTAAAGAAGAGGGTATAGATGGTACCTTAGTTTGTTGTTGNCATCCCTGGGGCCCTTCTAAATATGTCCTCATATTTACCATTAAATTACAAGTACTCTAGGTTTTATACAAACCAACTACATGTACACATTATCTATTTGCTTTGACTATGTACAAGTAAATTTACATTAAACACAAGCAATAATTATAAAGACATAATATGACATGGTATTTTCTCACTTCAAGTTGAAATAAATATTAATAATTATATTTCTATACCAGTATGACAACATATTTATCTTTACACAATAGATAACTTCTAAACAGCTACAGTCTATTTGATTTTACATTTCTCCTTTATGTAAGTACAGTTCTTTTGGTAAAGTGGGAACCTTATTTGTCCAGCTACTACCATTAATATTCATAGGGTGCACAGTAATAATATCAATGAACTCGTTATTGTTTCCATGTTTGTTTTAGTTTTACTATTTGTTGATACATTTTCTCTAGCAATATCCATTAGGGCTTTTTAACTGATGCATATACATTGCTCTTTTGAACTTGTTGGTCTGGTTCTTGTCAGACAAAGACTTTGGAAGACTTTTCTAACATTTTTACTTTGAACATCCACTAAAAGCATCCACAATTAAGTGCGATGACAAAGTAGGAAGGTACAGACATTGTGTTTATGGTAAATGTAAGACCTAAGTCACGTTGGTAAAAACTGACAAATCCCGTAAAGACTAAGAAGGTCAAGGAAAAACAAAAGTTGGTGGAAGTTGGTGCTATAAGTACAAAAATATATTAACTTTTTGTAGTATGTACAAATGAGGATTTGGGGGTTTGCGGAAAGGTATGACCATAAAAATAAAAATTAGAAAACAACAATATTTACTATAAACTGTTTCTTTATTTAAAGTGCTGGCATACAATGTATACAATTGTAGGGTTTTTTTTTATTATTATTATTTCATTTTTGAAGCTTTTGATTTGCATTTTATGACGTTAATATATTTTTCCTGCCTGTTTTTTTTTCCTATTTAGCATTTGCTTCCTCCATATTTCTTCCAGTTATGGTAATTCATTCAATTTGTTCCTTTGTGCTGATACTGATATTTTACGTTTGTGAATTTCTAAAATAACTCCATTCATCCAATGCACTGTGTAGCTTTCACAGACACTAATGTCATATTTTGTGATGCTTACCAGCAGGCTGGTTACAACAGTATTTGTTAAATTTTACTATGTGTTGTTCTTGGATGGACTGTTTCCCAACTTCACAACTACTTACTTTGGTACCCAAGAAATTAAAGATGGAAGTACAGGTTGTGCACAGCCTCATACAATGCAGAAAGTGCCTGCACCTCTGATTGCATTCAGCAAAAGATGTAAAGAAGAGGGTATAGATGGTACCTTAGTTTGTTGTTGTTAGGTTAGGTTGTAGTCTTGAAGTTTGCACAAGTGCGCATCTTGTGCATTTTTGCATTGCCCTTTTTAGTTTCTTATTATTATGTTGCTGCATTTTTAAACACTATGCACATCTAATTCAACACACTTTTTATCTGTCATTTCTCTGTTACTACATTTTAATTCTGATATCGTACTATTGGTGGTCTTTTTCTTTTCCTTCCCGCATGGGTTTTTGTGCTATGGAATTCTTTCTTCAATCTTTCTGGTATGTCATCAGCCAGTACACCTTTTACGATTGATTTTTCATTTGCAAACTTAACATTGTACTGATACTGTTTATATTTGGCATTCCATGAGCATTTGACAAGCTTTTCTATTTGTCGGACTGGGTCATCTTCTTCCTCATTCACCACACCTTGCTGTGTCGATGTAACGGGCGTAGTTGTTTGGCCTGAAATGCAACGTTGCCTTTGAGGTCTATTTTGCTGAGGGATGATAGGTTCATGGTACTCTCTCAGGTTATTTGCATGGACAGGACTTCTGTGCATTTCATTATTATCACATTTCCTGATTCTATATGTGACAGGCCCTACTCTTTGATGTATCCGATATGGTCCTTGCCACTTTTTGTGAAGCTTGGAACTAAGACCAGGCGGAGGCTTTGGTACATGGAGGAGAACTTCATCACCTATTTGAAATGTTGGGTTTTTAGCTTTCTTATCGTAGTGCTTTTTGTTTGCTGTACTTGCCATTTCTTTGTTTTTCTTTGCTTGTTCTCTACCCCATTCTAGTGTTTCCAGGTGGTCTTGCACATACTCTCTGATAGAATTTGGGAGCTTATCTTTCGGCGCCATTTTCACATCAAAAGGTGTTCTCATTTCTCTGCCATGCAATAGAAAGTACGGTGAAAAGCCTGTTGCTATTCCTGGTGTTTTTCGATATGCCATGAGAATTGCTGGGAGTACCGTTGGCCAGTTTGTTTGTTTCTTATCAGCATAAGATCGAAGAGCTTGGCCAATAAAACCATTTGTCCTTTCACAAACAGCATTTGTTTGAGGGTGATAACTGCTCGTGAATACCTGTTTAACTTGAAAAAGATCACAAATCGCCTGAACCAATTTTGACCGAAAGTTTTGACCTCTGTCTGAAATTAATGACCTTGGAGCACNTCATGTGTATCATCAAAGGCACGATGAATTATTATTATTATTATTATTATTATTATTACTATATTTTTAATTACTATTTCAGCTGTGAAAGAATTTTGTTATCACCTTGCGCCTTTTTCATCTTTCGTCGCTAATCTCGAATTTCGATTTTTGACAAACAAGCCGATGAATGGCAAGCAGTCATTTCTTTGCACAGTTAAAAGAGAGAGATTTGATTTTGAATTTATCAGATCTTTCAAAATCTTTCCAAATCTTTCAAATTTGATAAATTTTGAAACAAGCAAACATCGGGAAAGATAGATGTAGGGCTATTTATCTAGAGAAGCCCATAGGGGCACCCTGCACACTGAAGCACGGCACATAAAGGATACAACATGTCTTGTCAACATAGTGTCTAAACCACAAAACGCTCCTTTAATGTGCCTAACAGGAAGAATTATTTTCCCAAGACATCGCATTCACAAAGAATCACAAGACGCACACTTGCGTGAGTAACAAGCGAATTAGCTTAGATCGATTTTTAATCGCCCTGAGCGGCGTCGAGGTTTGACTCTCGCATACGGGCGCACGCGGCCTCGTGATAGATTGCTTCTTCGGCTACCTCGCCCACGTCCCGATACGAAAACTAACGGGAGACGCTGAATGAGCCGAGACCTGTCTTATCAACGCCGCCCCGCCGCGAGCAGGGATTCACAATGGCGGCGGGATTTTGTGTGGCTAGCGCGCACGTGCAGCGCTAATTAAGTTCGCACGTATCCCTGGCTGAGGCAGAATGGAGCGGAGAAATGGTATTGTCGCCGAACAAAAAAAATCTCGTCTCTGACTATTAACTGCTCGTGGGGAGGTGTAAAATGATACTGCTTTTAACGGAATATGTTGAGATGGCCATAAGGTTACTGTTGACTCGAATAGAAAGATTATCGAGATGATCTTAATCCAGGGGAGTTTTTACCTTTTGCGCTAATTGCTAATGTATTATAGTCTCGTCATTTTGATGTTATGCTCCTTAAATATGAAAAGCACTGCCGGCTTAGACCGCTTTTAGAAATGGTTTAGATGATTGTTAATTTTTTTTAATGATGCAACTTTTAAACCACAATCACTTCAAGATTAAAAGCTTTCGCTGACACATGGTAATATTTAATTAATTTTTCTTTTGCTTTTATTATCAAAGCTTTACTTCACTTTGTGTCATTTCTATTGGAGTGGTGGTATCTTGGCTCCATCGACTTCGGCTGAATTTTAAAGAGGCTCTCGTGGGGATCTTGCTTCAAATAAGATAAATAAATAAATAAATAAATAAACAATAAAAACAAGAAATATAAAAATAAATAGCTAAAATTAAAATGTGTAACGACAATAATAGCTAAATAATTATATTATCAGCAAAATTTCCTTATTTAGTGGACAGTTATCACATACTTGCCTATTATTAGAGAATGACCTCAAACTAAAAAAAAAAACAAACAAATAATTAGACTGAAAGTATATATTATACCAGCCTTATTATTAATTATTACCTTTAGCCAAGTAAAGTACCACGGTTCCATAGTGATACATTCCTTCCAATTTCTCTCATGAATAAGTGCCGGGCTAATAATCTTAATAATGAAACTCAACTTGCAGACGTTAAGTGAAGTGTCTCATTTCCATGATTTCTGCAACTCAATCCTCGTGTTACAGTGCAAATGACCGCAAGCGGTGTAACTGATCCATGTGTGGACATTAACTTCCACAGTAAACAATCAGGGACGATAGCTAGTCTTCTATTTAAATGATATAAAACCTTATGTAAGTGAGGAGTCATTTAGTGATGTTCCCGTGTGATACACGTATCTCCTTTTCTGATTTTTCTGCAGTAAAAACTGACTAAAACGTCAAATGAATCAACTAATATATTAGAATATATATGTACAGAGAGTTAGGCAATGCCCCTGATGACTATAATTCATGGCGAGGGTGTCATCACATCGGCCTTCCATGCTCGTATTACATTAGGCAGTAAGATGCTTTGTACCAGAATTTACTATTTTATTTCTTTTTTCATTAAAAACTATGACTTATTTATAAGCTACTGCTTTGGCACGTAAATTCCCCAATCCACAGTAGGCACTTCAAAAAAAAAAAAAAAAAAAAAAGATAATAATTTTCCATTTTATTCAGTGAATAGACATATATGAACGCAGCCATATAATCTGTAATATCGGAAATGCTGTAGTCTTCAAGAATGCCATTCTAAAGACCGCATAGAAATCAACCTTTGGTAATTTCCTTCCTCTTTCCTTCCCTCTTTCCTTTTTTACACAATGCCGTGGCTATTGACTTACGTGTCCCGTTAATTACGTAATTGTATTTGTTCACTGAATCAATTACTTAATGCCTTCGTTAATAACGATTTCACAAAGTGACTTAAGCTACTGGAAAAATATTTGATGAGCCGGAACGCTTGGAGCAAGGTTTGAAATTTTGATTCCTTTCAATTTGAGAAGAAATAAGCAAATAGATAGAAAGAATAAATTATCCAGATAAAATTCATTTTTTGTTTGTGGATGAAAGTTTAACAAAAAAATAAATAAATAAATAAATAAAAATAATAATAATAAAAAAATTAAAAAAAAAATAGAAAAAAATTGACGAATAATTGATTTTTTTCTTTTTTTCTTTTTCTTAATGTATCATATCTAGTGATTAAGAAAGTGAAAAAGTGCGTGGCAATATTCATTAGACGGGAGTCTGATAATTTTATTTAAACGAAATTGATGTTACCTTTTTTACGACAGAAAAAAAACAACTTTGAAAATTTTGATATAAGATAAATTAACATCATCGATAGACTTAACTTCTTTGCCATAGATATATCAAAGTGCTCAATTCAACAATAGAGTTATACTGAGGGCATAGTGAACTTTAAACTACTGGCAGACGTAGCGGTAGACTCGCCGTCCCCAAACGCAAGCACTTGTTGAGTTGTCGCAGGCGCCGTAATCAATTCAATCAAGCGGAGCTGATCCAGATTGCCCCGCGCTTGAAAGTGTTGTAAAGAAACAATCCCTCCATCTCGCGTGACAAGATTAAATGTCTTTCTATGCATTGCGTCCCGAGCTTTAAGAAACGATTAGCACTAATCATGGATCTGTTGAACGCACGTGCAGCCTTTGTTCACAGAAACTAGACGCGGTCTTCCAAGAGTACAATAGGAAACATAATCTCGACTTTTTTCCGTCGTCTACGTATTGCGACGAATAATGAGATTTTTTTTTTCAATTTCTATAACGGGCGTCAATCGCTGATTACAAGATTAGTTGAATTAGAGGAATATTGAATTGAATACACATCTTTTTTTTCAACTGTTACATAATTTTGTTCAGATCCCTTTTTATAATTCAACCTGTGGCAATTTCGATAATTCAATAAGATAAGTGACAAACTAAGAGCATTAGGAAAATTAACCGTGCTTAGAACTATTGACAGAAAGTAATTTTGATGCAGCGAACGAATTCTACTCATCATTGGCAAAATGATAAATTTCTATTTTGACGAGTTTAAAAAGTTGACGAGCACGCAGTTCCAAATCTTGTGTTCAGTTGTTTTTTATTACAACTTTAAACAAAATAATATTATTTCGTCCAATCTTTAGTTCAGATCGTATCTGTGTAAATTAATGGTTCGCGTTAAAGCAGAACTGAATAATAATAATAATAATAATAATAATAATAATAATAATAATAATAAAAAGTGTCTATAAGATGACAATAAATGAAGGAGATTAAATTAGTAATCGGGCTTGAGTTAAAAAAAAGTTACGAATAAAAAAGTAACTGAATGTATATGGGATTGTCATAGCTTTAGAACTTTTTTGCTTTTTGAACGCCTTTAGTAGCACAATACGTACGAGAAATAGAAGAAGTAGACCTAAAATAAAATTTTCCGAGGTCTATCCCTTCTTTTTTGAAGTACTGGCCCTTAAAAACACTCTTAATGACAATGCAAGGAATGCACTACACGGTTAACTCAATCAAAGGGAAGTGAAAGAAAATGTGCTTCAGAAAACGTGTGTCTACATGTGTATCTATGGGACATTTTAGCATGAGAGAGATAGAGAGAAGAGGGAGGGGGCAATATATAACAACCAGCCTATAAAATACATGCACTCAAAGCTTAAGAGCAGCTGAAACCTCGTGTCCACATAACACCCTCTTAACACGCCAGAATTTAACCAGCCACCTGTAACAGCACTCCGTACTTCACTCGAGCCGCCTACAAGGCTAGCGTGCGCGACATTATTTTCTCTACGTGCATTTACTCCTTCTATGCAATACAATTTACTACCGCCACCGCCACCTGCAAGCGCCGTGATACTCAGGTGCTAGATGCTTTAATTAATTGGATTCATTAGGTATGATTTATTTAATCTGGGTATGAACAGCGAGGGGGAAAACACTTGTTGGTTTAGTGTTAAGTAACGTTTCTATGGGTGTAAGTGTGCGGGCGGTGTCTTTTTTTTAAATTCTGTCGAATGTGAGAATATGGGTGTAGGTTGGTCCATTTGTACTGGTACAAAGCGTGCGTGTGCATCTTAAACAAATCACATTGTACATATTCGTTTCACAACAGAGGAAGATAAGGTAGCCCTGTGTTGCAAGACTGACATACGTTTATATGTGTTTAAAACCGTAACGTTTTTTTCTAACAAAGGAATAGTATATGGAACACTTTGAATGCAATGTGCGTCGTAGTGACTATTCCAGTTAAAAGTATTAAAACCATCTTTTTCCATCTATGTAAG